GAGAACAACATATTGCTGATGGTTTTGTGCATGTGTGAATAAACACTACAGCCCTGGGCTTTAAGTAGCATAGAAAAATGGTTCTATGCTGAATCCTCTGTCCAGGGAATTGGAGCATAAGAAAAATAATGACATATCTTAAAATATGCAGGCCATCCTTTCTCTCTGGATTCCTCTAAGAATGCCCATGGCATCAGTTAATTCTGAAGGGGGTAAAAATCAAGAGACCCATGTGCAAATACCTAAAGGGAGATGAATACATCCTTTCCATGAAATGTAATAACTTTATTTTCATATTAAAAAGAATGACTAGGGTATGCGTGGGGGCCACAGTTGGTTGAGTGTCTGACTATTGGTTTGGCTCTGCTCCTAATCTCAGGGTCCTGAGGGCCCCTGGGTGTCTCAGGCAGTTAAACCTCTGCCTTCGGCTCAGGTCATGATCTCAGGGTCCTGAGCTCTAGCCCCACATAGAGTTCCCCACTGAGCAGAGAGTCTGCTTAAGACTCTCCCTCTCCCTCTGCTTCTCCCAGCTGTGTCCTCTCTCTCTCTATCAAATACATAAAGAAACCTCTAAAATGAATAAAGAGACCGACTGGGAGAGTTGAGAACAGGAAAATGGAGCCTGGGTCTGAGAGCAGGAAGGAGAATATGAAGGGTTGCATGCACCTATATTTTCTGATCATTCTCCTGCCTAGACATGGGCGCTGGAGACTGGAAACTATAGCAAGGTCATTTCCAGTTTTTTCTGAAATCCTGATGTAGAGACAGAGCTCAGACTGAAGACCCAGAGGGAGAGTCTGAAGCCTGAGGGACGCGGGAGCAGAGAGAACAGGAGGAGGGTGTGGGGGGTGTTGTCAGGCAGAGTCTGTAGGATCTGGTCCAAGTTCACGTGTAGCTGGTTCAGAGAGAGGAGACTGTGCCTGTGACCAGGGTTATTGTCAATGGATCAGCTGTGGATACATCAGTAGTGACACAAGGTCACACTTGATGGATTAAGATGATAGAAGGTATTGTGGAGGAATGTTCGCTGGGCAGTATGTTCGGTTGTAGACACAGAATTCATTCCTGTCCATCTTCTCCAGATTGAGTGGGGATGTGCGGTGGGGCTCGGATATCTCATGTGTCTGTGTCTTCCTCGGATGCCCCCATTTTATGTCACTTTCCGTGCATTACATGACTCTTCCTCTTTCCCTGTTGAAGGATAGATCGTCGTGCAGAAGAGACCACCCTGCCATGTCTCTCCAGGTAAGTTTCTTACTGAAACGCGTCTCAGAAACAATATCCGTGGGTCCAGAGGTTTTAGACCCACTTCCTCCTTCTCTGAGACGCTGTGAGGAGCGGCAGCTGCTCCCACTGCTGTGAGCTGTAGCCCAGTGAGAGTCCGCCTCGGCCTCAGCCTGCAGCCCCGAGATGCGCAGAAGCCCTGCATTGGCCGAGGCGTCTTTGGAGCCCGAGAAGCGGCCGGGGAACCCGGAGCCCTGGTGCTTATCGGAGTCTGAGGAGTAGTACAGCAGATCCCGGGGAGGGGTCCCTGGCTGCAGCTGGATCCAGTAAATGTTAGAGCCGCCTACACTGATGTCCAGATTCTGGAGTTCCCTGTGCACCCCTCCAATGCTCCGGCTCCACCCCCCAACCCCACCCCTCCTCATTATCCTGAGCACAGCTTTCCCTGACAACATGTTTAGCTTGTGTTCTCTCTCTTCCCCCACACGCTGTCAGCTCCCTGAGCCTGCACACCCTTCCTGTCATGTCCACATATGTCCCACATCCCTAGACTAACATGGTAGGTGCTCAGTAAGTGGAGTGAATGCAAACTCTCTGGACAGGGCTCTATCCGCAGTGGGACACAGGGGGACTCCCTGTCTCTGGTTCTATCCTAACCTGTCACAGTGATATGGGATTGTCAAGCCCAATGGTCATGAAAGAATTCTTGCGACATTAAATGTTGAAAAAAGATGATTTTACTATAGCCCGGGGACAGGACCCATGGGCAGAAAGTTCACTGGGACTGTGAGGAGTGACTGATTATATACTTTATAATTAGTGGAGGTGAGGGATAGCATAAGTCTCTAAGGAATATGGAAGCCAGGCTTTCAGGAATCGAGGGGCTAGCTGCTGTGAAGAAGAGCTTACTTCAGTCTTTAATAAAACACACACATGAGGACACTAAGGCACCCATGAGGTCCTTGAGGAAGCTCATACCCCCCATGGGTCAGGTGTCTGTCAGGGGCTGCAGCTGGAGGGGATTGACTTTAAGCGACATTTCTCCTGCCTTTGTTTCCCTCATCAGCTGACTCTGTTACCCGGGCAGCCCACCCCTGGCACCCAGGAGTTTCTCCTCAATATGGGAAAACCATACAGTGTGTTCCTGCTTAGGAGAGGCTGGAGGGGCTGAATATAAGAGAATTTGATTATTTTGTAGCCAATGTTCCTTGAGATTAGTTCTGACTACAGTTTAGACCAAACAAAGGAAGGAGTTGACTTGGCCAAGGAGGGGAGTTGCACCGGGAGACCGGTTGCTGAGGGACAGCAGGTTTTTGTCTCACTTCCCCACAGGCCGGGAGCACTGTGTGAGCATAGTTACTGCTGTCCACCGATGCACAGTAATACTCAGCCTCGTCCTCAGCCTGGAGCCCAGCGATGGTCAGGGTGGCTGAGCTGCCAGACTTGGAGCCAGAGAATCGATCCGGGACCCCCGAGGGTCGTTTGCTATTACGATAGATGATGGTTCTGGGGGCTTTTCCTGGGAGCTGTTGGTGCCAGCTCACCACTGATGGAGCTGCAGGAGATGGTGACCGTCTAACCCAGGGCTCCAGACACGGAGGGCGGCTGAGTCAGCACAGACTGGGCCCAGGACCCTGCAAGGGGGAGAGACACACAGAGGGTGATGCTGGGGTCTAGAGACAAGAGGAGGAAGCAGGGCCCCACAAGTCCTCCCAGGGCCCCTTCCCCTGTCCCTGCATCCAGTCACC